TAGAATCAGGGCTGCCCCTGCCAAGTGAGGTGGGTGCCTCAGGCAACAGGTGCTGGGGGGCAGGCAAGAGAGTGGTGGTGTTCAGTTAGATGACAGAGCTGTGGGTGCCATGTGGCTTCCGGGCTACCACCCCAAGCTAGCCTGCTGCCCCCCTCAATGGGTGCTTTGCCACTGTGTCAGACTGGTGGTTTTCTGTACTTTATCACAGCAAAATGTTATGGATTGACCCTCGGGAGATGTCAACTATTTTGTAAAAAGCTAAGTGAATATTGAATAGCCTATAAACTGGGGCATTGGCAGATAGATTAGGGTATCAGTTTCTGATGTTTCTGTTTAACGAGTCAGGCATACTTTTATATATCTGGCCCTTCTCTCCCCTCTCCCCCTACTCCTCGGCACACCACCAATCAGATTTTATGACAGCTTTCTAGCCTCCAGAAATAACATCACCTTCCCCTCTGCTTGGCATTTCTTCTAGCTGGCATGTGTGGGTGTGGGTGTCCATGTTAAGCAAGAATTATATTCTTAATTTTTGTATATCATAAATGAGCACACAGGTGCTCTGGGAAATGGAAGAGCTCATGCTATCAATTGTATAACATGAGTGTGAGAACTTGGTGTTTACTAAATCCTCATCAAACAAAGCAGCGGACCCTCCTCTCCTGTCCACTGCCCTGGTAACGATACACAGCTCTCTCCATGTTGGTGGGATAATAACTGGCCACCTACACAGATGCCTGCTACACACTAGTTGGAATGTGGTCAGCTCAGCTGGTAACTGGCCAAACTGAAAAACTCAGCTCAGCAGCAGTTTTCACAACCATCCACCTGTGAAAAGGTTATGCCTCTCGCATTGAGAACTGTATCCCAGAAAACAAACAGCACATTCCAGCTATAGGAAGCATCAGGAAAGGGGTGGCAGGTGCTAGATACACATTGATTCCTGCAAAAACATCACATGATGAATGGGAAAGTTTCTTTGCCCATATATTTTTTACCAAAAATATAAAGCATCTAGATGTATGATGTTAATAGCTCATTAGACTAACTGGATGCCAAATCAGATGAGTGGAATGCCTACGCTTGGCGTTGCCAGTAACAATAAGTGAGCCTAATCTCCCAGCTATTGCTCCCACAAGTACCACATTTTTTCCAGTGGAATTTGTGTGGGAACAGCATATGTTGGATTGTGCCCAATATATTCAGCATTGTGCAAAAAAGACTCCTCAGTGGAAGTGTTAACAATCAGTGAAAATCTTGGGTTGTATTTATACCAAGGTGTGAACACGTCGTTTGAGGTTTCCAAAAAGTGCAGCATAGCTTACTTTTTGAAGGTTTGAAAATAACATTTAAGAAGCATTAAACATACAAAAAATAACCTTGAGGTTATATGACGATTGCAGCCTAGGGAGCAAGAAGGGCAGTTCTAAGCTCTTCGTTTTAATAGCTTGTCTTGTGAATCTGCCACACTGTGAGGAAGGTTATGGTAATCTAAGAGAGACTAACTGGTCGAGAGTCACCCAGCAAGTTTCATGGCTGGGCGGGGTGTGTGTGTGTGTGTGTGTGTGGGTGGGTGGGTGGGTGTGTGTGTGGGTGTTGAGCCCTACTCTCCCAGTCTTAGTGCAACACTAATTACTACACAACTATAGCTCTCAATAGTTATTTGGAATCAGAAGTAAGGTATAGAAACAATCTGATAAATTGGATTAGTAAGGAATAGGTTCTGAACACAACTACAAACCATACATGGCATATTTCTTATTTTAAAAAATTCCATACCTGCTAATGTTTTGTTTGCAAGCATAATTGAACTGATTTCAAGAGTAGGCATACCATGTATCCTGGTGTCAACGTTGCATCGATATGTTTATATAGAAGACATATGATGCACAGTTGAGAATGCAATATGGAGCATAAAAGCAGTCTGAAAACATTAGGAACACATGATTTGAACTGGGTAACACTTCCATCGTCTGAAAATGATATAGGCTTAATTTAAGATGGAGCTCATTGCTGCTGTGCTTACCCTTATAGCTTGTCTTTATGTGAAGAAATGATGGACAAAAGTGTAGCTTTGAGCAACCACAAGCTCTTACACAACTGAGATTAGGGTTGAATATGCACATTCATTGGCAGGTGATAATTTATGCCATTGTGCATGGAATAAATGTTGAACATGGAAATCTGTTTGCCTGAAGTTCCCTTCCAAATGGCGAGGAGCATTCTATCACACCTCTCTTTCCAATCAGGTAAAATTCTCCTGATTGCTTGGCAAGGAGATGCAAGTGCTGGCACAAGTGCAATGTGTTAGATTACCCCATGCTAACTGTTTGCATTCATCCCAGGGCTCTCTGGAGGGAGGATACTCTCAGAGACTTAGTGCTATGTTGACTACATCCCCAAGGCAGATTCCATATGCATCTACCACTGGCACCCCCAACCCAGTCTCCCCGGCAGCCATTATAATGAGACAATTCAAGACGCTAGTCTATGCCCTCCAGGACCAAAGTTATTATTACATATATATGATAAGTTTTAGATATTAAAAATGTATACTGTGTAATTTGGTAAAAAAATCTCAAGGCAGATTACATAAGAACAGTAAAATACAGTTAGCAACAGTCATTAAAGTCCTAAAACCCAGATTTTTTTAAAAAAAGCAAATAAAACTGAGCAGAGTACTGAATCAAAAAAGAGAGGTTAATTAAGTAATTAAATTAAAGAAGTTTAATTAATGGAGTATTTTTAAAAGGTACTTTTATAGCCCAACTTGGCTTTTAAAGCACTGGCAGGTATGTCCAGAACTTGACAAAACTGAAATTCGAAGCTGTTTTTGCCTGGCCCACATTTCTTTGCAGACATTTCCAAGAGTTTGTAGCAAACTTTTGTACTTTTGCCTGGCAAAAAAATCTATACCAGCCTTCCCCAACCTGGACCCCTCCATGATGGACCATCAGAAGAACCAGAACAATCTTCCCATCTTCTTTGGTGAGGCTGCCACCAAATATAATGAAGGAAGAGGAGCCAATGAGAGGGTCCCCACCTTATAGCATGAAGGGACCTTCAAAAGGAAAGTTACTTTAATCCCAGCGAAATTGCTTTACATCTACTCTCAGTACAAAAGAAATTGATCCACTTCAAGCCATTGATGAATGCAACTGGTGGCCAACTTTCCAAACACCAACAGCAACATTAAAGTGCGGCAATCATTGTCCAGGTGAAAGAGGAAAGTAAGGAGATAATCCCCCACTTCTCCAACAACTGAATAAGCTCAACGATAGTAGCTACTTGACTGAAATGTTCGGTTTGGGCAGAGTTTCGATAAGCAGCAATGTGGTCCTCCCTCTGGCTGCTTCAAGCTGGCCAAACTCCTCATAGAGGGTTGGTGTTTTACTCTGCCACATCAGCCATGACCCAATCTCAGCAGCACTTGCAAATGGCACAATCCCTACACAACTCTTCCCCTGCCCCATTTTTGACACTGTGTCCTCCCAACCCTCATTTCAGCCCATCATCAGGGTCACATTAAATCATCTTGATAGTGATGTTTCCTCCATTTGTTTCCTTTTATGCATCCTTTTTTAAAATAAAAAAAATAAGACGTCTAAATGCATTTCCCTTTTTCTCCCAGAACCCTCTCCTCTGCCAAGCAATTTGTCAGATCACATTAAAATGAAATGAGAAACAAGTCTGTTCAGAGTCTGGTAGCAATCCGTATTCGGAAAACAGCCCTGTGTTATGATGTTGTCTTTTGGGCAATTTCAGTAATAAAACTATCTGTATTTCCTTTCACCTAATTACACACACACCCTGCCCGCCCGCCACCACACACACACCAATAAGGATTGCAGGAACTCTTTGTTTAATATACAAACACACTTTCTTTTTTAAAAAAATGTTTGTATCCATGGCATGGTGAAATGGAAGCTGGCTGATTCTGTTTGCTGTAAAATCCCTTTTGAAAATCTTGTGACATTGACTGAATTCCTTTTGGGGCAGTTTGACAAGCTAATGAATGATGGGATTTTAGCTGCTTTCTGATTTGCCAGTCTCTGAAGGATCTGTTTTGTTTTCTAATTAATGAAAGGCAGAAAGAAGGATAACTACCCAAGAACCCATCCCCAAAGTGTGATTTCTTTATCAATCCAAAAGTACTAGAATTACAAAAAAACAAACAAAAAAACCCACAACCCCAACTTTTAAAAAAAAACCACAAAAACCTTTCTTTCTCTGAATTTTCGCTTGGGGTGATCGGTACATGTTGCTACTGGCCTGACACAAATCACATTGCAGAGACTTATCAAGAATCCAATCTCCCTGGGAGAAGGTGAGCTGCTGTGACAGGCTTGATGATGCTATTCCTCTTTAAAGTCTTACTAGCATAGCAGCCATTCAACACAAAAGGATATTGGGGGCGGGGCGGGGAGCACAGGGGTGAAAGGAGAGGCAGAGAGATGATTCCAGTGCCTTACACACACACACATTGCATTATTAACCCTCTTTTTCCACATAAATTTATATAGCAACCAGTGAGACAATTGGAACCCCCAGCAAGGAGAAAAAATATATCGGTGCCCAAAGTTAGCTCAATATTTGTGCAATTGTAAACTAGCAGTGCTAGTTATTAAATACAGAAAGAAAGAAAAAGGAGAAGAATCCTACTTGAGAAAATGAATATGGTTCTTAAAGCACTAAACAAATTACAGACACCTTACTTGGCTGTAAAAGTACTTAAATGATGGATTTATCAAAGCTTTGTAGACATTGTGTGTGTCTGTATGTGTATGTATGTGTGCATGCACTTTGTGGGCATATCAATAATGCATAGAAATGATGGTATTTGCATCACAATTTCATTTTAAAGACACTTCTTACCCTCAGGGCATCCCCCTAACATGCAAAGCATTGAATTATCCAAAATATAGAATTATGTGCTTGCTCTCTCCCTTCCAAAATTAGATCTATAAATGAATCATACATCGGGAAACAATCAGTATTACCTTGCCGGAGGTGTGTGAATTTTTAAAGAGAAAACTCCTTGTCTCCAACCAGTATGCCTGGGTTATTTTTTTCCAAGATATTCTGCAGCACAAACTTCAGACAATAATATTCTAAAGAATCAGAAATGAGCAAGAAAAAATAATAATCCAGGGCACCTTTTTCCTTTCTCATCAAATATTCCCGTCAAGCTCCCAGTAGTTTGAAAGACACAGTAAACTCTCTCTCTCTCCACAAACACAGAGCTCCTTAGACTGATGTAGCTGTTGAATTAGGCGGTGCTCTTTTAAATTTCTTCTCCCTCCCACTTCCCCCCTCCTTTTCCTCTTGTGGGGATTTTTATATTGTGGAAACTAAATTGGCATGTGCTGTTTTATTCAGAGTGTCAAACCTTGAGGAAAAGTAAAACTCGCTTGTCTCTATTTTGGTTCTACTCAGGGTGCGTGCGTCCGTGTGTACGCTTATTTTACCACTCCTGAAATCGATACTATGCAACCTCTTTGGTAGGAGAGGGATTAACAAACAGAATACTGATTAGAATCTAATCATCTTTAGCTCACTTTGTAGCACATGAGACTCTTAATCTCAGGGTTGTGGGTTTGAGCCCTACGTCGGGCAAAAAATTCCTGCATTGCAGAGAATTGGACTAGATGATCCTCATGGTTCCGTCCAACTCTACAATTCTGAGTCTATGAAATCATAAACAAACAGAGCATGCACACAAGAAAAAACAGTTTTCTCAGACAAGTTAGACCTTCTTTGAACAGTTAATATACACCCAATAGTAGAGTTAGGACCATTTCTTGGGTTGACGTCAAGATCAGCAATATATTATGAGGTATAAATTCACCTGTCTTATCAGCCTCATTAGATTCCATGGAGATCACCCTGAAGCTTTTCCGCTTCCATTCACAAGGGCTCACAAGGGTGGCTAGAAAAATGGACTGTCATTTTTGCCAGGGATGCAGAACTGTATGACCTCATGCCTGACTATTGGCCATGCTGTCTGTAGCTGATGGGAGTTTAACAACAACATCTGGAGAGTGACAGGGTTCGCCATCCCTGTTCAGTGTCGTCTTCATGGTCTCTTGCAATGAGCAATAATAAGTCTTTGTGTTCAAGCTTAGACTCTAAAAGGCATGGCACAAAAGGAAAGGTTATTGATAAGGAGGAGGAAGAAAGCAAACTCAGACCCCAATTCTTACTTACAAAGTCATTAGAATTGCTCTGATCCATGGGGCTGGGGCAAGGCAAAGCTCAGCACCTTGGAGAGGTACCTAGGTGGGGGTTTCAGGACCACACTTAGTGATCCTGCAGCTCAGGCAGAGCATGCAAGTTGTCTCAGCATTGTCAAGGAGCAATTGACAGAGCCTTGTAGCTTGGTATTTGAGGACCCAAACCATGGCCCATTAAAGGGCCAGTGCCATTGGCTTATTTTAGTCCTTGGGATTTTAAAATGTAGGGATATATCCTTATGGATCTTCTGATCTCTGCAAGCAGTTTGTGAACCAACCAGCATAGCCTGGTGAAGGAAGTGCCTCCTCAGGTTTCAGGGAAGGAAATTCAAGCTCTGGTGACTGCAGACCAGGGATCATCTCCATCTCCTCCTCAGGGCTACTGTCATTGGAGGACTGCCTCTAAGGACTCCTGACCTGGGACCATAACAGTAATGAGAAGCTGGAATAGAAACAGTTCAAGAAGGAGACATTGCTGGTCTCTCTCAGGTGAACCAATGGAACCAATCCCTTCTCTCCTTGTGCTGCATGGGATGGCAGGGAGGGAGAAATCTGAGGGCTCCTCACCAGAGCTGGTGGCAATGCTGCTTCCATTCTCTCTCTATGTTTCAGAAACACCTATATTTCTGGTTATTATGAGATTTCAATGTCATGTCAACAAATAGTATTAGGATGCATTATTTTACTTTTTAAAAATATCCTAAATATCCCAGAGTGCACCTTTGAGTTCCAGGTGCTATTTCAGGTGTTGGGGAGGAAAGGTGACTTCGGTGTGAATTTTTCCTCTCTTCCAGTCCATGAAATTGGATCCTTATTTTGCCTAGGCAGGCATGATGCTTTGTAACTCCTCTTGCCACAAGGAGTGGCCATCATTCATTCATTTCCCTCATTCCCTTAAAACAACGGTGTGCAGCCACTGACATTTCAAAGAGTGTATTCTTGCCATACTAGAGGCATAAAACTCTATACATTTTGTTCATACCACTTTGTGGTAAAGGGCCATAGACCAGTGGTTAGAGCATCTGCTGTGCATGCAGAAAGCCCCTGAGATTATTATCACAATGTGAGGAAGTGTCTGAGTGGATTGTGCTGCTTTCAATGACAACATGTCTATAGCAAGAGGGACAGGCCTGCCCAGTTGTGGCAGTGCTGCCTAACAGTAGCATAAGTACATAATAAGAGCCTGCTGGACCAGGCCAATGGCCCATGTAGTTCAACATCCTGGTCTCACAGTGGTCAACCAGATGCCTGGGGGAGACCAGCGAGCAGAACAGGGGACCAAGAGCCATCTCCCCTCCTGGGGTTTGCAGCAACTGGTATTTGGAAAAGCATTGCAGCCTCCAATCCGCTTATAAAAAATGATGGTGCCAATATAACTGGCTTTGAGGAAATGAAAATGCATCTAGAGCATCAATTCAACACAGACCAGTCTAGTGTCACTTCTGTTGAGCTTCCTCTCTATCATTTCTGTTCCCTGTAGGAGCTGTTTGTGATGCGGCTAGGAAGTAGCAGCTGGCACATTCTTGCCTCTTCCCAGTCTACCACACTCCATGGCTGCAGAAGTCAAATGTGACTCATTGGAACAAGAGTGACTTTGGTGTCCACCACTAAAGACTTGTTTGTTCTGGCTGACTCTTGGTGAAGGAGGCTAGGTCAGGAAACTGCAAGTCTTTCCCAACCCTACAATTGTACCAATCTCTCTCTGTCTGTCGTGTGTGTGTGTGTGTGTTTTTGGGTTGTTTTGCAGCCTCGAGCAATAATTGAGGATGGAGATTTATATGCTTAGACTCTGAGGCTTAGAGTATACTTAGCAAGTCGCCTCAGCCATGACTGCTACCATGGATGGCGTTTCTTGTTTAAAAATATAAGGGCTCTGCCAGAGTTCAGCAGCAGAGTATTCTGTTGATTTTGCAGGTTAAGTTTTGCACATGCTTAACAGTGCAATTACATGCACATATAGTCAAAGGTAAGTCCATATAAGTTCAATGGGACATCCTCTCAGGAAAGTTTGTAGGGCCGGTAGCCAAATCCCTCAAAATTTGGTTTAACTTGGACTGAAATGCTGTTTTGGTCAACAGATTTAGGTAAAATGTGTTCTAATCTTGAAATGAACTTGTATGACTAGGGTGTGGTGTATTTTAGTCTGTATTTTTTTAAAAAATCATTCTTATAACAAAATTGAAATAAACACACACATGCATATCCTAGAAAGAGTTTAAAGCATGGGAGTCTAACCCCCACTTTGGGAGTCTGATCTGCCCCCCCCAAAGCATTTTCCCCCCAGCCTCCTATAAAACACTGTTATGGTGACTGCAAAGGGAAAAAATAATAATAAAAAGTAAGCCCAGCTCTGTGATTAGCTGAGCCCGAGCACCCTGATAAGGAGGAGTACAAGATGCCACCCAACCATCTTAGGGACTCCAGTCTGGATTTGTGTAGGATTTACTCCTTAGCGTTTTCTTCTTCTGATGTTCCACAAGGCAGCGGGTTTGTAGGGTTGCAACCTCATAATTTGGACAGTGTCCATATGTTTTTAGAACTCCTGGTAAGGCAGGAAAGAAAGCAAACTGCACCTCCTTCAGCTCATTCCCTCTGCTGCCCAGTCAACCTCCTCCCTGCCATATTTGAGACTAGCATGCTATAGCAGGTAAGGGCGCTGGGACATGTGTCATGGCTATAGTTGAACTGGGTGGAAGGAGGTGTGACTGTCCGTCTTTCTGCTTTAGCAGGAGATTAAAAAGTGCATGAGGGATGTGAGGTTAGAAAACAACAGAGATTCCTGTGGCAAAGACTAGGTTGTAACTCCATGTGATGCATCTGCATGGTGTTATAAATTCGATACAATTATGCAAGGTCAGGATCCTCTGCATAGCTGTCAACTTTTCCCTTTTCTTGCAAGGAATCCTATTCGGAATAAGGGAATTTCCCTTTAAAAAAGGGAAACGTTGACAGCTATGAGCCTCTGTCTCTCTCTCTCTTTCACACACACATGAACAAAAATCTGCAGAAAGTTTTAAATATATAATAATAATAATAATAATAATAATAATAATAATAATAAATTTTATTTATATCCCGCCCTCCCCATCCTTAGCCGGGCTCAGGGCGGCTAACAACAATAAAACAGTACAAAAGTACAACATAAACAACACTCTAAAATCATTCATTCTAAAATTAATTAATTAGACGAGGAAGGAGGGAGAGTAAAAGATGGCAGGGATATTGTGCGATATAAATTTTAGTGTTTTATAAATGATGATGCCATTATACTGTCTAGTTATCGCAAGATGACACTGGACTTACCTGGACAGAGTTAGGTGTTTTCTGCTGCTACTGCTTTTCCGTTCTGGTTTTTAGAGAGACAATAAAGTTTTTCTCTAGCCTCTTGACTGGTGTGTCCATGACAGATGAGTAAACTCACAACACGTAAGAAACATTGCACATTGTCTATAACCTGTATAATGAGCTACTTTGCTATGAAGACATTTGTCAAGTGTAGTACTGACCAGGCCAGGATGAATGATGAAGTGTGGGCTGCCCAAGCCGTTTACAGTATATGCAAAATGAGCCTGACTGGCCAGCCAATTTTGGAGCATTGACCAAAGCAGGATAGCTATGGTCACATATTTTAGCTATTTCCCTGACAATGCTGATCAGTTAGAGAGGTCATTTACTTTCGGTACAGAAAACTGGGGCACTGAAAATTGCAGAGCAAGCACTGACCTACTGAATGAAGTGTGTTCTGGAGAAGCTGCTTTTTCCTAGATGATGCTGGACTTTGTACTGTATTTAGAACTTGAAATGCCCACAAATTCCATGTTATAACTTAATTAGCATCGGCAGGAAGAGTCCAAATTTGAATGGTGCCCATTAAATTTGGAATCAGGAAATACCATTGGGTAGAGTTGGGGTGGTGTTGGTGTTTTGGGGTCTTTCTTCTTCTTCTGAGGAAGTTTGTGTTCATTATAGACCACAAGAGTCTTGTTAAACTGTTTGCAGCTTAGAATGAGGGTGCCAACTTCAGAGGCCACTGTGG